GGAAGTTAAATTTGTTACATTTTGAAACTGATTATGACAAAAGATGGAGCGGTAGATGAGCGCCATAGTTCCCCATATATGCCCATTACATTTAAGACTATAAGCGCTTTGCTGTATGCATTTATATGATGATGTTTGTGCAAATTTAAGATAACAAACACAAAAAAAGTACAATTTTTATAAAAAAAAAGAAATAACAATGAAACGATGGGAAAGTATTATAAAGGATAATAATGTGCTAGAAGAAAGGATGAAGAAGCACTTACAATCACTGTCGCAGTCACTCTTAGTTAAAGTCGGACACCCGGATATAATCGAATGCCGCAATCAACGCTGGCGCGATAACGTCAATGAGGTTGGACACCACCCATCTGACCTCGACTATCGAATCTGCACTCAGTGCCCAAATTGATAGAAGTTTATACTTAATACCCTAACGAGAACCCAGCAGTACACTTATTTTAGTCTAGACGAGCTTCAAAAGCTTAGCTAGTAACATCGCCAAGTATATTTTCAAGCAAACAAATCTTGACATTAGTTATATTCGTAGGCATGGGCACTAAATCTAGTTATTAAGTTGACCCTACATCTGTACTTCGGGTCGTACAAAATTAGAGAATGAAGTAACTCAGGACATCAGATAGCATACAACAAGAAGTAACTTTCAAAAACAATACAAGAAAAGGTAATCAGATTTATTTTTCAATCATCGAATCAAAAAATTACTTAGAAGTGAACTTTGAATCCATGAAACCTTCTGAGCGCTGAAGAGATCTTTTATTACTCTGTAGTCGTTGCTCAACTGTTAAGTCTGCTGCGGCGGTGTTCAACTGACTTCTGAAGATATAACAATGGTAGAAAAAGATATCAATCCTTATAGGATCATACACATTGAACTGCAACAAACCTGATGAAACTTGGAGCCTTATCGTGTGTATCTTCAACTTCTTCTTGTTCGTCAGCTAAACGAGCTCGTTTCAGATTGGTTTTACGTGTTTCTTGCCGCCAAACAGCATTTTCCGCCATCTCTCGCAATTTCGCTTGCTTCTCCTCTTCTGTCAAAGGACGTCGATGTTCGGGCTTCTATATAGAAAAAGCAATAGAAATTGTGCAAA